TAAATAAAGTGTATGTTTTGCACACTACTTCTGTTCTTGTCATTTGTAGCCAGGCGTACCTGGGTATTTGTAATAGGGAAACCCTAGACTATCTGGCATCACTTGAAGTCTACCAGTTGGCTTAGGGTCACGCCCTCAGAGTCACAATCCGGGACGTTTCCCCCGTGTTACATATATAGTGCCTTTCTATCTTATTTCAAGATACTCAAAGCTCTTTACAACAGTCTGTGTCCTCATTTACCCATTCATACAGCTCTATACTAGATCACTACAAAACTAATTGAACAAATCATTCTAAAGAGACTAATCAGAGCTTTAGGTCACATTCATACACTGATGGGACACACATCAGAGGCTACGAGGGGTTCAGTGTCTTGCCCAGGGACACTTCAGCATGTGACTGCTGGTGGATTCGAACCCCCAACTCTCACATTGGAGGACGACTGCTCTAACCACTCAGCCACAGCCGCCCCACTTGATGGCTGTTTACTATTCACAGAGGAGAGTGATGCTAGCAGTAAGCATTGTAAGAGGGGACAGTTGAACACAGAGGCTCCGCCCCTGTTTAATGATGGACAGGTTCTCTTCACAAAGATGCTCTCCCTCGTCCTGTCGACGAGGGAGAGGGCTAGCACCAGAGGAGGGGGCGTGCCAAAGACACCATCTTAGCACCAACTGAACTGGTTTGTTCCACTTTGGAGTAAGCTGTTGGGGGAAGAATCAGTTTTGTATTGTGTGTTTCCTTGACTGATGAAGCCTTCTGGATGGAAGGTGAAACGTTTCAGCACAAAAAAAGAAACTGTCCAGATGACCTGACTGAAAAATGTTGGGACTTTTTTTAGGAGTAAAAAAAAAAAAAAAAGTATAAAATATATATATATAAAATATTCATGACTCAGAGATTCAGGAAATCAATGACCTTTACTCCAACTCTACACTATAATGCACTTTATGTTGGTGTTTCAAGGAAACCATAGAAAGTCTGAAGAAAACTAATCACCCAGGTCACTAACAAGAAACAACAAGTGGAAACCATTTATAAGATAAGATGGAACTTTATTGATCCCACAGAAAGTTGTTTTGCCAGATTTTCAGTATAAAGGAACGAACACAAGGAATCACACAAGACTGGCTGAGTGGTTAGAGCAGTCGTCCTCCAATGCAAGAGTTGGGAGTTCGAATCCACCAGCAGTCACATGCTGAAGTGTCCCTGGGCAAGACACTGAACCCCTCACTGCCTCTGATGTGTGTCCCATCAGTGCATGAATGTGATCTAAAGCTCTGATTAGTCTCTTTACAATGATTTGTTCAATTATCTTTGTAGAGATCTAGTATAGAGCTGTATGAATGAGGCACAGATTGTTGAATATCTTGAAATAAGATAGAAATGTGCAATATAAGTACAGTCCATTTACCATGTAAAAAAAATAACAGAATATAAAAATACCAACTATTAAATTCTAAAACAGGTCAGGTGCAGAAGGTGAAGGATTCATTTTATTGTCCTCTGTGCAGAAAGGGGGAGGAGTTTATAAGTTTGAAGGACTTCCTGTGTTGATCTGTGGAGCACCTCGGTGGTGTCAGTCTAGGACTGAAGGTGCTGCAGTAAGAGTCCAGTCTTACCAGTCTGGATCTGGAGCAGGTTCCTCAGCATCTTCTGCTCAGACTCTGTCAGAGACTGCAGGTCCACTCCCAGAACTGAACCAGATCTTGATGATCTAAAAAAGTTAAATCTGGTCCTCTGGACATTCAAAAAAAAACAACAACAAAGCAAATCAACAAAAAAATGTAGAAACGTTTCGTCTCTCATCGTTTCTACATTTTTTTTGTTGATTTGCTTTGTTTTTGTTTTTTTGAATGTCCAGAGGACCAGATTTAACTTTTTTAGATTTTTCTACCTGGATTATTGAGCATGCATCAGGACAGATCTTGATGAGTTTATCGAGTCTGTTGGCATCATCTTTCTTCACCCTGCTGCTCCAGCACACCACAGAGTAGAAGAAGACGCTGGAGACCGCAGAGTGATAAAACATCGGCAGCATGGTCCTGCAGATGTTAAATGACCCGAGTCTCCTCATTGGTGTAGCTGTCCAGTCCAGTTTATTGTCTAGGTGAACCCCAGGTACTTGTAGCAGTCACCAGTGTCCACCTTAGTACCCTTGATGCTGTTTAGTTGCTCTGAACTCCCTTCCTGTTATTTTAACAACTGATTTTAAAATGCTCCTCCTTCCATGTAATGTTCCTAATGGTCAAAGAACAACTTCTCTTACAAACTGTTCAGCGATTTGTAGACATACAGGAGTATTTTGAACTGGATTCTAAGGTGAACTGGTAACCAGTGCAGTGAGGCCAAATCTGGTGTAATGTGCCCTCTTTTGCCTGTACTGGTTAAAAATGGGGCTGCAGCATTCTGGACCAGTTGTAGTCGTGCAATGGAGGTCTGACTGATACCAAACAGGAGTGAATTGCAGTAATCAAGCCTAGATGTAATGAATGCATGTATTACTGTCTCCAGGTTCTTTTTGGATAA